TCCACTAAATTTACCAAACACTCCTGACTATATATTCACTTGGATTATAATCTCAAATAGATTATAATCTAGTTAATTGTAATCCAACTCTGTACATGCTCTAAATAAAGATAGTGTACAACCTTTATTGGAGCATTCCATGTACTGGTAAAATATTCCAACCCATTTATGAGAGATCTTTTATCATTCGGAACGATGCTTATAATACTAGAAATGTTTCAATAAGATTTATATTCATAGATGAGGGATTTAGAGTAGATAATATAGATATTTCTAGGCAATAAAACCTAATACTGGTAGTGTAACTAAATAGTGGTAGTATATACATCATTTATTATTACATTTTATATACTAGTTAAGTATTGTGAGCCTTTTATGATATAGAACACAATTTTACCATCTCGATATAATACAGTTTTTATATAAAAATCATATTATCTTTTATCCAAATTGATCAACACCATCATCCAATAACAAGCATGACAGAGCGGCATTTAGGGGCTGTTTGGATCGCTGACAAAAAGAAACTAAAAGCACCTGACACACCCATGTGAGGTGTCATATTTCTCAAAAAAATCATTTCTTATGTTTGGTTGAGGGTAGAAAACAAAAGGAAACATTGTGCATATGAGACCCATCTATTAGATATGTAATAAATGCTATGTGCCCCAAATAAAGAAACTCGTTCCAGGAAAAAAAACCTGAAATAGACTTGAAAACTAAAAAATGGGTTCCCCGACGCATTTGCCTTGGGTCATTTCGCAGAATTTAGGGTGTGTTTGTTAATAAGTTAAAATTGGGTCAGGACTGAACTTGACTCAATTTAAACTTGTTTCTTGTTTGTCAAATTTTCAAGTCAGAGCTGGCCCAATTTTTTAAACCTAAATAGTATCACTAAACCAGTTTTCTTTTGGATCCGGAGGTCTGGTCCAAAAAAAATTGATTTAGTACAAAATTAGGCTAGAACTAGTCCTGACACAATTTTGTTCACTTCACCAAACCACCCTTAGTTTCTGTAAAATAAACCATACAGGCCCGTAGTGTCATATACGGTATACGGAATTCGATTTTATTTTCCCTGCAACACAATCCTACATGCCGCACGTGCGGTTCGTTCGTACACTCGGATGTCTAGTTCCATTGTATTTACCAGGTGGGCCCCCGTACCAGCCAGTCTACCTTATCACGTTGGCCCTTTCCCTTGTCACGCGGGCCCATAAACTTGTTTCATAGCTAACTAATTAAAGAAACGGGTAAAGTTCATAAAACCCCATCTCACTTTTCTGAGCTATAGACTCCTCTTTAACTTATAAAAATGTCACTTATCCTTAACTTTGGGGTTTTCACAAAACTCTGTTTAACTTTCGAGATTGTCCGGTTGATTTTCCAAAAACGATAAAAAAACACTGTATTCTAGCAAAATGCTCTAAATCCAAGTGATCATACATGAACCTCCCACGGTTTACCGTTTCCTGTTCCCTTTTGTCCACTTCAGAGAGGAAGTTTCTTCTTTTCTGCTACCAACCAAGCATCACACAAAAATATAGAAGGAAAATGGATTTCCATAAAAGGGAGAAATAACTTTTATTTATCTTTTGCTCCAACCAATTAACCCCTCTTCAACATCTTTTCATAACAGAGTGACTTCCTATTTTTGTCGATATATTGGGGTTTCGTGAAAACAAAAAAAGTTTAAGAGGTTGTCTGACGTTTTAAAAATTAAGGACTTACCTTAAACTGGAACAAATGTTAGGGGTTTCTGAAATTTACCCGCCTGAACAAAACAACGAAGCCCCTGATCCATGTGGGACTTGGATTTGTACAAAACCAGCTGCACACCTCACCAGCTGTTTTGCTAACCACTTCGTCTATAAATACACTACACTCGATTCTATACTCTCATCAACATAAAGCACAAAGAGAGCACAAATAATAATAGAAGCAAGAGTGATGGCAAGTTCAGCGAGCAGGGGCTGTTTGATTGCAGCAGCAAGCGTTGGTTCAGTAGAAGCATTGAAAGATCAAGGAGGAGTAATGTCCAGATGGAATTATGCAATAAAATCATGGCATCAACATGCTAAAAACAACATGGGTTCCTCTTCTCAAGCCAAGAGACGATTCTCTTCTTCTTCTTCAAGTTCTGCAATTGACAGATTAAGGCAAGGGAGGAGGGAGGAGAAAGCAAAGGAGTGTGAGGAGTCACTGAGAAAAGTTATGTACTTGAGCTGTTGGGGCCCTAATTAGTGAATTAGATTAATGTGGATCTAAAGTACTTGTAAATGCAGTAGATTTTGCAAAATGATTATTGTTGCATTATGGTGATTGAAGTGAGTAATTTTTGCCAGATGATATACAGTATGTGAATTGTTCAGGGAATTATTCATAGAGATTCAACTTGCTATGCTTAAATCGGGCAATTAAGTCTTCTCTAGTTACAGGACTTAGATCTAAAACTTTTATATATCCAGATACCCTTTTTTCGGTATTGTGAGCTTCTTATTTGATTCATTTCATTAGTTGATCAGACTGTTATGTATTCTTCAGTGAAAAACTTATGATGGATACAGGTGCGACATGTGAATTATGACACTACATATATATCAAGAAAACCGTCCCCGAAATTACATACGTAGAACTTAAAGTTTCATCAGAATAGTAATTAAATATAACGATTTGAATTTCCCTAGGTAAATATCATTAGGTTTCACTAAATTAATGATTTATTATTCAACATATCTATTCCTTTTATAAAATACTAATTTATCATCTTCTTTCTTTTTCCAGTTCAGCATCTTTTTTTGCATTACTCTCTTAGTATTAACTATAAAACTTGCACTGCGGTCATCCAATCACATATAATTGTTTTTGAGTTACAAAACTAATCACCTATTATTACAAGTCTAACATGACTTGTCTTGAATATTAAATGCGAAAATAGTGAATGCAGTTCATAGGTGATAAAAGTGATATTTGTAATTTGAAGATACAAATTCGTAAACAGATAACTTTACAGAAGGCTAAAATACCAAATTGGTCTAAATAATGCTATCTCTTTACAACTTTGGCCTAAAAACTAACACCGGCGATAATTTGACATAAAAAATAACAAATCGGCAATAAATAAACCTTTCTGGTCACCAGAAAAAATTTTAAGCAAGAACAGTAAGATATTTTTATATATACCCTTTAAATTTCTCATATTTTCTGATTTAACCCCTCGAGTTTTAAAATTTGTAAAAAGAACTATCTCCCTCCCTTCCCACCATCTTTTCCCTCATCCTTCTTGTCATCTCATTCATTGTTTTCTTTTCCCAGTCGTCACTATTCTCTCCTTTCTTTCACATATCCTCACTCTTAAGGAAATTAGTTTTTAATAATTGAAGGATGAAAAAAGAGCAGGAAGCAAGGACAGAAGAGAGAGTGCAAAAAAAGAAGAGAAGAATGATGTTAACATTGTGCTGGAATATTTAATTTTGGATGTCGGGAGTGGGTGAAGCAAGTAGGAAGAGAGTGTGGGAGAAAGGAAGAGGAGAGGAAGGAAGATGGAAAGGGACAGAGGAGGAGATGTTGGGGATTTGGAGTAAAATAGAAAGTAAGTGTGATGAACCATGAAATAAGTTAGGAGAGGGAGTAAGGAAAGAGGGAATGTTAGGATATATGAAGAATAAGGGAATGGAGAAGACCGTGGGAAGAATGAGGAAGAAGATAGTGAAAAAAATAAGGTTTTTTAACAAATTTTAAAATTTTAGGAAAATGAGACGGGTTAATTTAAAATTTATAAGAGATTGAGTGGTCTATATATAAAATTCATTTAATTTTTTGCTAAAAAATAACTTCGACGATAAGAAATGTCTACTTGTCATTGATTTGTTACTTTTTAGATTAAATTATCGTTGGTGTCACTTTTTAGATCAAAGTGATAATGATGTATCACTATCTAGGCCAAACTGTTATTTTAACCTTTTATAGAAGTTGGCGCGATACTTTCACAATGAGATTATTAGTTTGGAAAATATATGTTCTAATTATTATAAGTAACAAAATTTAGGGTGTGTTCGACATCAAGTTAAAATTGAGTCATGACTAAACCTAACTCAATTTTAACTTGTTTCTTGTTTGTCGAATTTTTAGGTCAGAACTAACCTAATTTTTTTAGCATAAATAGTATCGCTAAACTAGTTTTCTTTTGGACCAGGAAGCCCTTGTCTGGTCTAAAAGAAAATTGGTTTAGTAAATTTAGGTCATGACTAGTCTCAATCCAGTTTTGTTCACTTTGTCAAACACACTCTTAGTCTAGGTAGTCTAGGTTTAAAGTTAATTCTTATCAAAATACTAAAGCACTATAAAAATTAAGAATATAAAAGCTCAAAGCTAATATTAGGATCTTCTAAAAATGTTCTTGTGACTATCTGTTAGATCTAAATCAAAACTTGAGATCTAAGACCATATAGCCATGATTAATTCAAAGAGATTAACAAGAATCATAAATGAGCGGAAGCTTATACCTGAATCCATAGAAGAAATCTTGATTTGGGTTTCAATGATCTTCTAACCTTAGGGTTTCTCTAAATCCGAATTTCTCTCTCTAGATGGGGGTGAAGAGAATTAGAGAGTGTAACCCTAGGTTAGGGACCATAACCCCTTATTTATAGATATTGTACTTTTGTAATTTAGCCCCTCAATAAATCACAATTACAACCTGGTATCTGCACATATAACCCCATGATTATATTTAAATACCCATTAACCCAACCCAACTTAATTGATCACTTTAGTGGGTTATCCTGAAAGATAGCAATACACATTGATTAATCATATGTGCCCACAAATAGATTTATTAGATTAAATCCAACACTATCATCTTAAATTTGAGAGAATATATCTTGTTATCGGTCCGATATAAAATTTCGTTCCTCCTCACTCTTAACATCTTCTTATAGATGTTAAGCAATTGAAACACTCATCACCATTCATCATGACAATTCACGTGAGACAGAGGAGGATAAAAAAGATTACTAAGCTCATCTTCAAAATTTATATACAGATTACAAATAGGAATCCAAGGAAGCCCTTCTCATGATTTGATCTTAGGCCTATCCATTTCCTTTGATCCTACCATCAATCTAATTGGGTCCCCAGCAGCTCAAGTACATAACTTTTCTCAATGACTCCTCAGACCGCCTAGCTTTCTCTTCTCTCCTCTCTTCCCTTAATCCATCAATTGAAGAAGAAGCAGAAGCGGGAAGTTTTCTTCTGACTTGAGAAGAGGAACCAATGTTTCTCTTAGCGTGTTGATGGAGGGATCTCAACACATAGTTCCATCTGCACACTCCTTGATCTTTGAGTGCTTCAACCGCTCCCACGCTCGCAGCCACGATCCAAGATGCTCTGCTTACTGAAGTTGCCATCCCTTGCTTGCGAAAATAGAATGATTTCGTTTGTTTTGGTTGATGAAAGGTTGAGAAGACGCCTGTGTTGAATTTATAGGCCAGATTCTGCTGCTGCTGGTTTTGAGAATCCCAGGGTAAGTCCAAGAGACCGG